AGACCAGATAACGCAGCTTATGAATTCCAACAAGTTATACAAGAGCAATAGGAGACTCGAGTCACCAGCGCACATCAGCACATGTCATAGGTATCCAATCATCCAACATGATCACCCAGGTAAGTTCCGTCTTCCTCCCTGCTCTTCTCTCTCTTAGTTGTATCACCCCTCCTTGCTGGTCTTCTCCCTAGCTCCTGACCTCGCTGTATCTTCTCTCCCTACATGCATGCACACTCACACTAACTTCTACCCTCAAAGATCTATTCTGAATACACCCACTGTTAACTCTACTAACTCTCTGAAGACTACTACTAAATACTAACATTAACACCCTGCGCTAGCGCAGCTATGGCTGCCTTCTCTTCATAGGGAGGCCCAATTGTCGTGAGTGGATGCCTGTGAGTTAGTAGAGTTAACAGTGGGTGTATTCAGCTATGGATGCCTTCTCTTCATAGGGAGGCCGAATTGCCGTGAGTGGATGCCGTGTCACGTCAGGAACTTCTCCACCATCGCTGCACCCCTTCGCAGGTTACTAAAGAAAGAAAGCCACCAGTTCTTCGCACGGATCGCATGAGTCCCTTGTTCAATTGTAAAGATCTTCTGTGTTTCTTCTGTATTCCGCCAATGAACACCGGTGTCATGAAGTCCCTCTCCCTAACCCCTCCTCTTCCTCGCGGCTCCACAAATTCATGCCGAAACCACAGTTTGAGCTCCCACGTGACCTTTGTGCTCTGCGTCACACAGTTCGATGGATATTCTGGGATTTCGTCACAATTCTTTTTGTTTCCTTCTTCCTCTTTTTATATTCCCATTGCCTGCTGTGTGGGTGCCACTGCTGTCAGCAGAGGATAGTCTGTGACAGTTCCCCGTATATTTGTTCAGCTACACAGCTGTCACGGGCCAGAGCCAATAGTTTCCGCCCTGTCTTTGCTCGGTATTTAACAACTGTACAATATGGCCTTGCTTTCCTTAGCTGGAATCAGAACTGATGGCTGAGGAACAAAATCGTTCTTACATGCCCCCTGACAGCTGTTACGCCGCCTCTAGCAGTTTTTTCAACTCCCGTATGCTGCCGCATTGATGGACAGTAGAAACCCACCAATTTCATATTGACTCTCTCTCTCTCTCTCTCTCTCTCTCTCTCTCTCTCTCTCTCTCTCTCTCNCTCTCTCTCTCTCTCTCTCTCTCTCTCTCTCTCTCTCTCTCTCTCTCTCTCTCTCTCTCTCCGTGTGTCTGTGTCTGTGTGTGTGTGTGTGTGTGTGTGTGTGTGTATGTGCGTGTGTGTGTGTGTGTGTGTGTGTGTGTGTGTGTGTGTGTGTGTGTGTGTGGAACGTGGCACGTTGCTGTCCACTCCCTTCAAGGGAATGAGTCTTTATTACATTCGGTAATCACAGTTTTTAGTTGTTACAGACCAGATTGACAAAGGTCAGATTGGCAGTCGTTATAGCTGGGGAGAGGTTGGGCTGGAATCAAGTGTTCTACGATATAATACTAATAAGCGAGTTACACCACCAGTACCCTGCCCAGCCAAACTTTTGTCGCCTCCTGAATTCATGGAGGACGTGGGCAGGCCTGGTAGAGGCTCGGTACAGCCTCGACGCATGCCTGGTGGTCGCTCGTTTTGAAAACGGAAACGGGCGACCAGAGAGTTAAAGAAAAAAACGAAAAAAAAAAAAAAGTGAGAAAACGAAAAAAAAAATTCTCCCTCTGAAAACGGCGCGAGCGGGGGGCTGTTCCTCTCGGAGCGGCGCAAGTTCTGGAAACAGAGGCTCACTCAGTGTACAAAAAAAGTAAAAAAAAAAAAGAGATACAGGGCCTCCCTGCACTACTCTCGAAATGTGCAAAACGAGAGTGAATCTTCCGCTAGATTATGGAAAGATACAACCCCAAGATTTGTGTCTTTTGTGCATGTCGAGAGCAGTGCAGCGAGGCCCACAGCGCTGTGCTGACGCCTCATCCTACGCTGTCAGATTCGCTTGGGACATGGAAATGTAGGGCCTCGCTCCACTACTGTCCACATGTGCAAAACGAGAGTGAATCTTCCGCTAGAACACGGAAAGATACACTGCTATAATTTTTGTCCTTTGTGCATGTTGGAGCGAGGCCCATACTACAGCTTCGTGGCCCTTCTGTTTTTTTTTAGTTATTTTTCAAATTGAGATATTGTCCAATAAAAGAAAGATCCACTGCCACGATTTGTCTTTTGCGGTTGATGTTGACAGTGCATGCGTTTGGAGCGTTCATCCTACGAGATTTGCATTGGCCCACGCTGAACTCTTGTCCAGATTACGAAAATGGGAATGAATTTTACACTGGAACATGGAAGTACACAGAGAAGATCAGCATGGCCCTGCTGAAGAATGATGACTTCTGGCAATAGAGCCATTTACGGCTCTCTGACTACGAGTCCGCCATCCGTGCCTTCGCCTGCTCCTCTGGCAGGAGCAGCCACCCTATGGGGAAAAAGAAAACGTAGGACAGAAAAAGGAAGAAGGAAAAAAATAAATAAAAAAAACATGGGAGGGAAAAAAAAATGAAATAACCAGCACAGAAGTACCGGTTGCCAGCATTGAAGGACCGGTCAGCCCCATTTCACGACCACTTGCAAGCTGCATTCCCATAAGACGAAGAGGTTCGGTAGCTTGCCAACAACAAGGTTCGGGAAGACTGCGTCGGGGGTACTGGTGGTTTAAATAGGGCCAAAAGACCATCCTGCCAGGCTAGATAGATGATTGAACTCGTTGGGCTCGTGACCCCCCTTTTTTTTTTTTTTTTTTTAATTGTTCATTTGCTATTAGTATTACTGTTGTTTCAGGATCAGGGTAGTGTCTTGGTCAAGATGCAGTAGACAGGATTTGTAGATGAGAACTGTTAACCTGGTGTGGGCTGCTCAGCACCAGGAGCTGATGTACCACGAACATGGATGGGTTACTCTAAACCAGGTGCAGATTAACCACGTAGACGGATGTGCTACTCTGTGGGATGGACGTGCAGATCTACCACGTAGACGGATGGACTAGCAGATTTACCACATAGATTAATGGTCTATAGTATCGTGGTGCTTCCGTGCAGGTATTTGATGGGGGTAACAAGGTGTGTGCTCGTCGAGTGCTTGTGCAGAAGACCGACATCCGATGTAGTGGGACAGCCATATGGTGCGGACCCATAGCGTTAGTCCTGTTCAGTTCCGGGCTGAGGCTCAGTCATTTGCACAATATTGAATATTCTTACTGGTATTGCTTAGCGCATGGGGATCACTTTTTGTGCGGTGGGTCGAGGTACCAGTAACATTAGGGTGCAAATTACTGAGTGTTTGAGTGCTGAACAGACGATCACATTCTTCCATTACATCCTGTATGCTTGCATTGACATTGCTTTTCCTTAGATCAGGATTCAGGAGTGGAGTTCGTGCACTTGAAGCATAGGGAGTTGGTAGGTAACTGATTATGAAGAGAGATTGTGTGCGGTCAATCGTATCTAGTTTGCCTTAATGAAAGGCGCTAAGGTCTGGATCAAGTCATGATAAACAATCAATAGGAAGTGATCTTGCAGATCTCCTCGATCTTTGCGACAGTACGGCATCAGCGCATGCCTTGAGATTCCACAACCTACCAGCCGGGCCGCCCGGGTCCCGGGTGGCCAGCCCGTGCAAGAATCAGATAAGGTCCCAGCAAAAAAAAAAAAAAAAAAAAAAAAATCGAAAAATTCTGGAAAAAAACTATGTTATGCAGAAAAATAAACTGAACAACTTTTGCCTCAGGGTCACATCGAAATTCTTCACCAAATTTAAAATAAAAAATAAAATTCAAAACTATATATATATTTTTTATTGTTTTTAATTGTTTTGGCCCGGCCGGGCAAGTGATCCCGGGCCACTCTGGTAGCCGAGTCCTATAGACGAATGCATCATGGACGGAAAATTATGACAAGACCACAAGAAACGGGACGGAAAGGCAGAAGAAGGAGAAAGGAGGAAGGAAGGGGGAGGAGGAGGAGGAGCAGGAGGAAGGAGGAAATGTGAAAGAAGGGATAGTGTCGAAGTAGTCAAGTCAGAACGCAGAATGACCGAAAGGTCTCCCGATCGCAACATGCCAGATTATGTCGACGGAGTCAAGTCAGAGCCCAGAATAACCGAAAGGTCTCCGGAATGCAATGCGCCAGATTAAAATAAAGGACAAGTACAACGAATCTGGAGGTCCAACCCTCGGTTATAACCCTCGATACCGTAATCAAGTACAACAGTTCGAAAGAAGGCACAGTATCAACAGTTTTGGAGGGAAGCAGTCATGCAGCAGCTGCAGCAGCTGCAGCAGGTTTCCGCTTGCGAGAATTTGCTGTAGTTGCTGCTGGCACTTGCTCATTGCACTGGATTTTCATTGGCCATTCCGCACACTGTCATGGGAACATGTTTTGTCCGAAATCCTCTAATATGATAAGAGCAATGACTTTGATACGTTACGCACGTTTTTCTCTTTTTTTTCTGTGTTTGCTTCTCTATGTTTTGCTTTTCTTGTTTGCTTGTTTGCTTGTTTGCTTGTTTATTGTTTGTCTTCCCAGGTTGGCAGTGTATGAGAGACTCTCAGGGCATACTCACCCGAATAGAATGCCCAGTCCTTATCGCTGTATCTAGTCTGGAATTTGCACCAAATACAGCTGCAATGACTGGGCATTCTATTCAGGTGACGACGGTAGTTCTTTAATTAAATATATCTGAATGAGATTACGGCCCAGCGTCGATGTATCTGACCGCAATCGCGTCCGGAGCTCAGTCGAAAAAGTCCTTGTGTGAGTATGCCCTCAGTGGGTCTTCTGGCCAGTTACATATCTTCTGTGAAGTCATAGGCTCATAGCTTAAAAGTTAATACATTACATGCTGACGACCAAAGTTTCTCTGATGTTTTTCTTATTATTTTTGCACTTTGAAGTTTGAACTGTGAATGCTAAATGTCTCTCTGTTGTTCTTTTTGCACACCTGGACCTGGTGTGTGTGAAACCCACAGGTGAACATGATGGCAGAAAGCAATTGGAACCTATATGTCGGGCCCGACAATGTGGATATGAAAGCCCACTTGATGACCTATCCAATCCGCATTAGCAGGTTTGGTGCCATGGACGAGCTTCCTGGCTATGGGAAGTTCCCTGACATGGGAGGGAAGGTCCTGGGATGTCCTCAGAAGGCGCTTCCGGAGACGCTAACTACCTAGCCTTGAGTAAGTACGAGGGTTTTCCCAGCACTCGGTACAAAGATGGCAATTACAATTTTTTTGGACACAACGCCTGACTGGCTATTACAATTTTTTTGGAGACAACGCCTGATGACAACTCTCTCTCTCTCTCTCTCTCTCTCTCTCTCTCTCTCTCACACACACACAACGCCTGATGACAACTCTCTCTCTCTCTCTCTCTCTCTCTCTCTCTCTCTCTCTCTCTCAGTGATGGCAATTACAATTCTTGGAAACACTGCGGTACGAGATGGCAATTGGAATTTGTTTTGGAGACGACGGCTGACTGGCTGCTACGCGTCTACGGTAAGAGATTGACCACAGCTGCGAGGTCTTTCTTTGCACGGGTCAGAAGACTTTTTTTGGAATTTGTTTGTGTCCCGTCCAGTCTCGACAGTGCCGGAAAGTGGTGAAGGCAGGGTTCAACATGAATGAATGAAGGATCAACACACTTTGCTCTTCAATCATGGAAGCGTATGTCAAGGATAGCACGCCGAAGAAGAGCTAAGCAGGAAATGTTGTGAAATGGATATACTGCCCACCTGAATGGGCTTGCCGAGCAAGATACGGAGGATGTGACGTGCCAATCATTGCGGGGTCGCTGGTAGAGATGGTCGTCGGGAGGTGGTGAGCACATTCTGAAGCCAACGCTTGGTTACGGCAGCCTTTTCTCACACCAACCTGGGGGGTCTCCTCCTGTTTCCTCAAGTGGTGACTACAAAATGCCAGAATTTTCCCGCATTGAATGGTGAGAACCCGGTATGGTACGTGGCTGCGTCAGGCTCGGCAGGTCAGGTCCGGAGGTAGTGTTACCTGAACCACAAGTACCTCTGAGCCTCTTTTATTCAATGCGTGGATTTCCCCGGCCCTAAAATTCCGAATCATCACCGGCGAGGGCCTGCTGGGAACCGTCAGCCTTTGGGTCTGGCAGGCCAAGCCTTTCCATAGTACCTTGCTAACCGGCCCATTCTTGCAGGTAGCAGGGGGGTGCTGGTCGCTTAAACCAGCACTACCTCCGAGCCTCTTTTTGTCGAGGTGGAGTAGAGCTAGGCGTCAAGCTGTGCTGAGCGCCAGCGCGACCTTTTTTCTTTTGTTTTGGCTGACCACGCCAGCAATTTTGGTCCGGTGGCGCCCGGCCTCCGAAGAATGCGGTATAGGTTATATTTTTTTCACGACTTAGCCTTCGCCTCTGCAAGGTAGCGGTGGTTTAAGGCCTTTTTTTAAAGTTTTTTGTAAGTCCTGGGAGCATCCTCCTCTGGATTCTCAGTGCTTGGCACTCAATTTACAACCAGAGTGAGAGCGGTTGACAGAGTGTGAAGTGCTTTTATAGCGACGTTTCGATGCTTTTAAAGCGGCGTTTCGATTCACTCACTCGCTGATCATCGCGTGTGCAATGTACTGTTAGCCTGCGGTTTCAGTACTTGTCATTGCTCTCGCACGGGTGCTGAAGTATGTCCCACGAGCATGTTGATTGAACAGAGGAGGGCGTCTGTTGGCCAGAAAATATGATCTTCTTCTTCTGTTTCATTGAGCAGTCGTATGGTCTTGAGGTGTGGCTTCTAGCCAGGTCAGGCAAGCTTTCATAGGCAATCCTGATCTTGTTCTACATCGTTGGCGATGACTGCGTGCAGCGGTCCAATCGATGGATGGGACTGGTGGATCGGGGCTGCTGAGTTCTGCAACATTATTGTGGAGACGAAGTGGGAAAGACTTAGTATATGCTGTTGTGCTATTGGCGCCAATCCCTTCACTGCAATAGCCGAATTGGACGACTGGAATCGGTGGAGCAGATGTCATGTTCTCCAACGAACGGGGAGGGAATGCAGTGAGGCAGTGAGTTTTGAGAAGAGACACAATGTAAGTGCACAGGACAGCTGCCCATTGGGAGGAGCACCTGCCTTTTCCCATCAGATTGAGTGGACATCACAATGGCAGAATGTATATGACCGTGAGCAGCAAAGTGCATGGCCACTCCTTGAAGCGAAAACCACTTCAAGGACAAATCATACCTTTTCGCAGTCCAATGGCTGGCTGGACAAGGGCAGTGTGACCTTCTTGCCGGTCCTTGTGTCTTTGAAACCGTGCGTGGCTGTGTGTGGTTGGAGGTACAGGAATTCGAATTCTCGCTCTGCAACACCTGGAGATCCAGCAGCAAAGCTTTGCTCACATCTTGAAATGAAAATCGTAATTGGACACATTTGGCCTTCCTTTCTGCAGCCCGTCGCCGTGTGTCTGTGCTCCCACGCAGCTGTGTGTGACACTGTGTGTTTACACTGTTTAGAGAACTTTGACTACGGAGGGATACTCAGGGCCGTCAACTTCTGCGGCACGACTTCCCATTTCTGCGGGCTGGATGTTGTTGATTTCTTCAGCGTAGCTTCTTCAAGTATGAGAGCCTGTGTTGATGGCTTAGGTTCTTTGTGCCATGCACCCTCATAGCTGCATACACAGTCTCTATGTCTGACTGTAAGTACGGCCAATCCTGGATTTACTGGACCGCAAAGGACGTCCACAAATCGTTAGAAATAAGTCCTAACAGTGTGACTATGCCCTAAATGTTCTCGGGAATAGAGCCAGTTTGTGGAATGCACCGCGAACTTAGTTGGGTCAAGTGAATAATGAGCATTCATTCATAGCTGCGGAAATATGCCCATTCTGACTCTGTGCCAACAGAGCTGCTGGGTAAGGGACTAGGGACTATGTGGTTGCGCCCTCACCTTCAGCAGTCCACAGCTTTGATGTCTTACCGGGACTCAGAGAGTATACATGCGGGAGCTGCTTCTGTACATAATAGCTGTTTCAAGCAGAGATATAGATGAGCTGGGAAAACCAGGGGTGGGGAGGAGGGAGTTCGGCTGTGTTGGGGAGCGTGGTGGTCCCTGGACCTGCTAAGTGCTCCAGGTTTTGTTTTCAGTATTTTCTTCAACTTTTATTTTTCCATTTCCCCCTATACATGATCTCCCCTCCCCCCCACTAATTTTTCTCCTGTTTGTGGGGGGAGAGCCAAAATGTGAGTCATTGTGTGCTCTCTGTGTTTTTTTTCCCTAATGGCTTATCGAATCAAAGTATCAATGGTAAAGAAGTGTTGACCAACTTGAGTTCGATCATTTTTCGCTGGCTGTTTGAAGTTTTCGAAGAAGTTCGCAATCAAACTCTGGCTGGGGGGAGCAGGGGGGGGGGGTTCGGAGCTGACGAGAGGAGGAGCATGCATGGATTGGAGTTTTTACTGCATTTCAAGGAGTGGAATATGTTGCGAGTTTTATCGGGATGGATTTTCAAGGCCCATGCATGGGTTGGTGCCATTGTGATAAGAACCCTTGAGCGCGCTCTGAACAAACTCTTCTTCGAGTCTTGCAACGAACGGTGAAATCATCGACCTATCTTACGAGGATAACGAGGCCCTCGGCCGCTTGTTGCGTAGTTGGTGGGGCTTGTGGCCTGTTTGTGAGCATCATTTCGATTTTAGATGGATGATGAGTGGAGGATGGCAAAAAGTGTTTGTTTGTTTTTTTTCGAGCTAGGGAAAGATTCTTTAAATTGTTTTCATTGAAAGCATTGGGTAAGAATTTTGAACGAGTTCATCATCGGCCGGAAAGGGAGAGGTTTCATCCATTCGGTTCTTAGTTCTTCGCGTTCGGACTTCAAAGGGATCATCTTTGAGGCTTCACATCTTTTTTTTTTAAAAATGTTCAATTGTACAACGCATCGTCTGGGAGGTAGGGGCTTCACTCCGGTGTGTTTCTGATGAAGAGGTAGATGGTAGATATAACTTGCTTGTTTCGGCATTGTTCTGCAGTGGACGTCGTCCTCATGGCTTGTTTGTCTCTCCGTTCTAAGTCTTGAAGCTCGTAACTACTTTTTGTGGAAAATAGTGTACTTCTGATGAAGAGCCGGAGGAGTTTGCAGAACAGAGTATAACTGCGGAATGCTTTTGCGTTTGCATTGTATTGCGGTTGGCGCTGTCGCACGGCTTATTTGGGAGTTCAACAACAATAATGAAGTAATGGCTGAATTACCTCAGGTGAGGCCTCTGTACATGTCTGTTTTTTTTCCCCATCCAGCGTGAGATGAACCGGCTGCAGGCAGAGGCTGGTACATTGAAAGTGTGCCGCCCTCCTTGTGCATGGTTGAAACTTTGGTCGGCCTCAGGCAGAATTGTGGTTACGCACACATTCGGGCAGGGAGTACAAGGGGAGGAGGAAGCTCGTATCGCTCCTTTAAGTAGACCCCGCCCCGGTCTTGTTAAATAAAAAAAACAGGGGTGGCGAAAGTAAGGTGTAGGACGGAGGGGGCAGTATTTTAGAGGAAGTGGATGGACCCCCCTATTACGTCAAGAAGATAACCATCGACGGAGAGAATGGCAAGTTGGCTTGCGGCAGAATCGATTGGAGATGGGAGTGGAATCTGGTTTTGTGAGATCCCCCCCCCTATTATGTTAAGAAGATAACGATCCACGGAGAGAATGGTAAGTTGGCTTGCGGGAGAACCGGTTGGAGATGGCAGTGGAATCTTGTTTTGTGAGCCATTGAAGTGTGTGAGAAAAGGCCGAGAAAGGGATGTAACATTGGTTTGCAGCTATGGGTCTAGGGTGCTCCTCCCTCATATCGCCCCCTCTACCAACCCACCACGGGGTTCTTTCAAGAACGAAAACAGTGGAATCTTGTTTTGTGATTGATTTGCGGACTGATTATTGTCGGCCGGACTCCTTAGAATTGTTCTGGTGTGGTTCAAAGGTACACACTTCGCACTGTCACAGGCTTTGTTTTGTGATTGATTGATTGATTGACGCACTGATTACGGTGGGGGCTTGGGTGGCGAAAAGGTCCGCATGGATAATTGTTGACAAACAGACTGAAACCCTGTTTCGTAAAATAAGGCTAGAGGATACCCCCTTTTTCAGTTAAGGAGTAAAAAGAAAGAAAGGAGTGAGGATGTGGGGCAGGCATGAGTTTTGATGTTGGGGCATTTCGTCATCCCCGTTTTTTGAAACATTTTACATAGTCGCACTCTCATGTGTTCTCTACCTTTTTTTCTTCTTTTTCTTCGTCGTCGTCTTTAAACCACCTGTACAGCCAAGCCAGGCTGAATTGCACTGTGTGCCAAGCTTTGCCGAACTGCCACCAGCGTGTTTTTTTTTTTTTTTTTTTGGCTGGCACCACCAGTCATTGTGGTCTGGTAGCCCCGGGCCTCTGAAATTTTAGGAGTGAGGCATGTTTTTTTTTTTTTTTTTTTGAAGTTGACTGGGGCTGTGTATTGCCTGTTTAACGGGAAAAAATCGTGGAGAAGTTGGCAAGTTGCTCTTTTTTTGTCCAGGAGTTTGTGTGCAAGCGCACGAAAGTTTTGGGAATAAGTCCCTGGCACTGTGTTGGAATATGTAGTTGGATGTCACACATAAATTGACAAATGGTCCAACTTATGAAAAAGAAAAAAAAGAAAAAAAAGAAAAAAATAAAAAATGAAAAAAGTGCCAACGGGCCTAGCTCAGTTGGTACACCCATGGACTGTTGAAATATGAATCAGACCCAAGTTAGAATCCAGATGCAATCAGATGGACAGAACAAAATAATTCTGAATTACCTGGGCCGGTCAGCTCAATGATGATACTTCAAGGTCATTGCCCTTTAAAAATAAAAGAAGGGAAAAGGAAAAAAAAAATAATAATAAACTTAAATAAAGCAAAAACTGCCAAAAAGGAATATAATTCAATATAATGACATATGCTTGGCAAAAGGTCTCTGGTAAGGCCTTCAATATTGTGAATATTAAGCCATTTACCCACAAAAAAAAAAACACTGGCCAGACTGGGGCATAAGGCACAAATGTCCTGGCCAGCCTCCCCACACTCGAAGCATAAAACCCACCAGTATCTCCAAGCCTCTACTGTACAAGAGGGGAAATGAGCAATAGCGAAATGACAGAACTCCAGATTGCAAAATCACATTGAAAGCCAGAAAGTCGAAAGCTGTCCAGAAAGCAGAAATGCACTGATGTCACACCGAAGGAGAACCAAAGCAGCGAGCTCAATTGTCAATAAAAGCATCCTCTCGACACCACCAACAATGAACTCGTGGCTCTTTCTCCTAATGGCGCTCAGCGCCCAGACTACGGTCCTACAGCTACTAAACTAGCCTATCATAATGACAAAACAACCAGTTGACGTCAGCAGCGGCAACGGAAGTACATGCAGATGTCGAACATGCAGACCTCCAGGACCAGGTACGTGCTCTCACATCACCTCTCCAGCTCGTCCTCTCAATGCTGACCCTTGCCTCACCTCCACGCTCCTATCCCCAAGGACCAATACTCCGCCAGCTATGTCTCCCCAAGCTCGGCTATGGCTGACTGGGCTATGGCGCTGCTCACTAGCAGCGCCCTCACTTCACCCAGCCCGCTGAGGGTTGTGCCAGCGATCCTCTACCAACTTAAGAAACGAGTCTAATGTTTGGGTACTCGCCCAATCATTCATCCTCTTACCAAAGCCATGAGTTGCAACTAAACCATTCAACCATCGTGCTGCCGAACCTTTGAGGTATGTGGCAGCAACGAGCACTTCTTCTTCGGGCAACGTCCGCTTGGCCCGAATCCATGTTGGCATAGTCCTTAACCCAGTGTTGAGGTATTCATCCTCCTTATCACCTGAAAAAGGTTTCAGGAGGAGACAATGGGGTCTTTGGGTACCATTGTTGTTGTGGTGCAACTGGAACCTGTTGCTGCTCAGGTGGCTGGACCGGCTGGCTGCCCTGCGGCTGCAGCAGTTGGACCTGAAGATGAAGAAGCAGCAGTCCATGCACTAGCTGCTGACGTACCACCTAGTGGAATGCCAAACTGAGGAACAAAGGTGCGTGACATCGCCGGCTACGTAGACGGCGATGGTAAAGCTGTTTGTTTGTGCCCTAATACTAGACCTGGCTGTTGTGGATGGGCCTGGTCTCCCCATCCCCTGCAGGGTCGTCAGTATCTGGTCACGGGCTCACTGGATATCATCCATTTTGCTGCCCATGCACTCGTACATGCTCAGCATAGTACCCGCTTTGAGAACTTTACTTGGGTTATCAATGGTCAAGTCTTGTTTGAAATAATCAAAACACATCAAAATGGTGTCGACAGTACTAAACAATAGAAATATTTTACAAAAATAGGTCAAATTATCTACGATTAGATTATTATAAAACAACTTAGTAGTTATGATCCTGGCCAATTTCGAAGCACACATTCATCAGAAGTAATTGCAAAGAGAAATGAATGAACTTGAGAGGAGAGAGAGATGGAAAGAAGAAGAAGAAGATGTACACCAGCAAAGACCAATGAGAATTCCCTTCATCTTCGCCAACCACTCTCCATCTCCTTATCTCCTCCCTTCTTATTCAAACAGGAAATAATAATAACAAGATGACCCGCCGCGACTGCGCCCGCGGCGAGAGGAGCGCAGAATGTGAGAGACGGGGAAAAGGGAGGAGATGTGGAAGATATTGAATATTTCAAAGATGGTTGCACCTGGACTGACATCAATAGGGTTGCTCTGTTCTATGCTCTCAACTTGCCGATGCCAGAACGACGCTGGCCGGAGCTGGGGTGTTACCCTGTAACCTACCACGGCAGGAGCGTGAGGCCTTGTAGAGAGATCTGGGGTTTGCCGAGGGAGGAAGGCAATCCAGTGGCGAATTGGGGGGGCCGCCTTGATACCCTCTGGGGCCGGGGATAGTCTCGGGGGCGAGAAGAGGTCAGCTATGGTTGATGTTGTTTTGGTTGGTACTGTCTTTGAGTAGTAGTGTCCCAGTATAGGGAGGTCTAGGAGTTGCTCTCGGATTAGGAAGCCGGAATAGCTGATATAGCATAGTATTCATAATCCTTCAGATCTAATAAAGGTGGTGCAGTCAATTTCTTTAGAATTCTAAAAAAAGCATAATCATCTTCATCAATATCATCATCATCATTAGTATCATTATCTCATCAATGTTATATTAGAGGGAGGAAGGCGATCCACTGGCGAACCGGGGGGGGCCTGCTCGGTGGCGAGGAGAGATCTGCTATGGGTGACATTGGTTAGGTTGGTATTGTCTCTGTCTTACAATGTCCTGGTTCAGGGAGGGCTAGAAGTTGCTCTAGGATTAGGAGACCAGAATTGTTGATATAGCATAGCTTACTACAATTAATACAAATTTTTATCACCATCAGCATCATCATCAGTAGTATCATCATCATCATCAGGATCATCATCATCATAGTCACCACATGAAGGACGCTGAGCCTGGTTCTCAGCAAGTTCGGTTCCGTTTCTCCGGGCAGACTGTGGGGACCCCGGCCTCATTCCTCTTATTGGTAATATCAGCCTTGGGCACTGGGCCCTTCAAAAAAAAAAAAAAAAAAAAAAAATCTCTCTTCTCCTCTCTCTGAATCCGCCTAATCCGCAATCCACGCACGTCGAACCTCCTCTGGCACACTCCTCTCTCCTCTCCTCTGCTGCACCACACCGCCACGTCTCTTCTTCTCTCTCCGAGATTCAGCGCACGTCGTCCCTCCCTCTCTCTCTCTCTCTCTCTCTCTCTCTCTCTCTCTCTCTCTCTCTCTCTCTCTCTCTCTCTCTCTCTCTCTCTCTCTCTCTCTCTCTCTCTCTTCCGGCGGTGATTTCGCTAAGCAGCGATGGTCACCGGAAATGGTGGCGACGAACACCAGCGTTGCCAACGAGCTGACAGGGCGAAAGCAAACGCAACGGGCGAAAGCAAACGTCAGGGAAAGCATGCAGTCCACATGCAAAAAATGGCCGACGCAGACACGCGAAGTTTGCAGGAGGGGAAAAAGAAAAAAAACACAGTCATGCACGGCGCGATAGAAAAGACGCGCGAAGTTTCCAGGAGGGAAAAAAAAAAAAAACAAACGAAGTTATGCATGGCGCGATAGAATTTTCACGATCCCACAAGACTGCCACCGTCGATTGGCGCATTTCAGCAACGGTGTGATAGAGCCGAACGACCGGCCAACCCCAAACGACTGGGACGATCCCCCTTGGGCCCAAGGCCAACTGTCCCGCGGCGTTCCCAACACTGGACGCGGGTTCTCGAACGGGGGCGTGACGCGAGACCCGCTATTCACTTAAAGATAGCAAGGGATAATGTTGAATGGCTGAACCAGAATGAATGTCCGAATCCCTCTTCCACTGCAGGCATCACATGAGGTCCACCATAGCCATGGCCACCCTTCTTCCTCCTCTCATGGCCGAGGCTATGGCGGACTACCAGGGCACCGCCCTGCTGTGCAAAGGACAACACAAAGCAGCTATGGGTGCTCTAGCTCACGCCGCCATGCCTGACTCTGCTTCGAAGCTTCTTGGTGTAGCTCTACCCCAACTGGGGCCTTCCAGATGCAGCGCCCACCAAGGCGATGAAGATGGTATCCACCATAGCCAGGTAAGTACCTCTGGCGCTCTCCTTCCTAGTCCTGGTCTTCTTCCTCCTCCTGTCCTTGCTCCTCCCCAGCAGCGCTGCTCGTGATGCTAGCGCTGCTCCAGCCAGCGCTCCAACCAGTGTGTCGCCAAACTTGCACACCGACAATGAGGAGGAGCACTTTGCTCCTCCTGGAGATATAGCGGCCTGCTTGCCTCCTGGGCGGTGACTTCCAGGCCGCTCGGCCTCCCAAGTAACCGGTACCTCCTCCCTTTCGGAGGGAAACATCATTGCAGACTCCAATATTGCCTGTACAGGCCCTAGACTCAGACTGGTTGGACTGGTATCCACCTAGACCTAGCCTACAACTACTGGGCCTCTAAAAATGCCAACTTTTGTCTTCTTCTGCTCGGCCTCGAGTACCCAGCACATCTACCTCTACTTGCTGTGGTAACGGCCTGCCTGTTTTCCGCTGCTCTAAGTGTTGCAGGCCTCTTTCCCCGCCACTCGAGTGTTTTCCCCGCTGCAACCCTCAATGTCACGGCC